GCTGCTGCTGCTCCGTGGTGACACCTCAGCCTGCGTGGGGTGAAACGCACAAGCCTTCAGCTGCAGACGGTGATGGGAGCCCCCCTCCGCAGTGCAGCAGACAGAAATTCTCAAAGTGCTAATTAGGCCTGCACACTGCCCAGAGAAGGGGAATGCCGGCTTAATAACTGGCTTTCCCAGCAGGGGGCCATACCCAAAGCTACCTGCCACCTTCCCTCCTGGCCAGAGCTGGAAACCCCAGCCAGAAGGCCAGGCAAGTCCTGTCCCAGGGCAGCAAGCAAAGTTGAGCCTGGCAGCCATCTGGTCCCCAATTCCGCCTAATGTCTGTAACAGACCTTGAGCTAATTGCCTGGTTGGGGCGCTGCCTGGACATCTTTAGCACCTAATTCACTACTGTTTCTCTGGAAGACCATTCCCCGCCTGCCCGGGAGAGACATGCCTGTTTACAGGGATTTTCAAGCCCATAGAATCCTGGTCTGATCTGGCAAAGTTCCAGCTGGCCGCATGGCCAGGAGGGCATCCTTGGTTTCCAGCTCAAGCCCTAAGTTGTCCCCGTACCAGACCAGCCGCCTGCCCCAGGCCTTGGCTCCATCCCCCACTCCACCTGCAGCAAAAGTGGAGGATGGGAAGAAACCCAGGATGTAAGACATGGGATCAGGGACCTGAGTTCAAATCTCAGCTCTGCTGCTTTCTGACATGGGTCCTGGAAGCAATACCATTCACCTCTGGTCTGTTTTCCTATCTACAAAGGAGATGGTGTGACACATGCTCAGTATGAGAATAGCTAAGATACCAAGAGCCCTGCCGGAACCCCAAGTCAGAATCAGGCATGTGCTGCAGCAAAACCGGCAGGGAGTCTCTGTCTAGACAGCACCCCTGGGAGGATGTAGGAAGGACCTTTTTCTCAGACTATCCCAAAGGTGGTGGTTCTCAGTACCATCCCTGCCACCATCTTGAAACAGGATGCCCAGACCCCTTTGGACCCCTGCCCAATGCCCAGGCACACATCCCCACTGTGAGCATAGGGCAAAGAACCAGTGTCCCCACCCCCGCCCCAGCATCCCTTCCCCCATCTCCCACTTCAGATCACAGAAACAGATTAAGGAGGGTGCTAGTAGGCCTGGCTGTCCAATGACCTCATCATCCTGACGCCCTCACGCACTACAAGGACTCTCACTGCTTCCTTTGTCACGGTCCCTGAGACGGTTACTATCAAGCAGACTGGGTCTGGAAGAAGTCACTGGAAGGCCTAGAGAGTCTCTGCTCCTCTCCAGGTCTGGGTTGCCTCATCTCTAAAGAGACCGGGAAACAAAGCTTCCCTGCTCCTGCCCGATGGTAAAATCCCCTGTTGTCTCTAGAAAGAGACGTCAGTCCCATGAGATCAAAACAGTTGGGACATGAAAGAAACCATTCCAGAAAGGGTGTGATGAGTCAAAAACACGCTCTGGTTGTAGGTCCTGTCTAGAGAGTAGGAAAAGCAATAGTGAACACGGGGAAGCTGGACACGGGGTCTGCACCTCTTTGCTCCATCCAGTGGCAGGGGACATAATGAGCCCCAAGGCTTACGGTAGCCTTCAGGGCTCCAGGGATGGACTTAGCTGGGGTGGCAAGGGATGAAGATGACAAATACACAGATGCACTGGAAAAGCTGGTATCAGGGGATCTGGGCTCTTGGATGAGGCTGTGGCAGCCTTGAAGCTCCGCGGGTTTACTATGTACAGTTGAACTAGGAGGCAAGTTTAGCCAATCTCTGTAGAGGCGGTCTTCAGATCATAAACATCCAAGGCGAGAAAGCCGCAGTGGGCATTTTGGTACACCCTGTCAACATCCGCCCACACACCAAAGGAAGATGCTGCCATCCCGCCGAGCCTCACCTAGGAGGAAGGCTTTGTCATTTTGCCATGAGGCTGAGGCTTTGATCCTTGACATGACTGGTTTCTGTCAACAACACACATCCACTTGAGGATTTCACACACTCAGGGCTTCCTCTGCTCCCCACAAAAGCTGAAATGGGGACCCGAAGCTGTGAAGACACTGGGACTCTGACATAGACAGCTCCAAGCATCCACGGCTTGGAGTCAAGCCATGGCATTAGAGGTGGGCAGGACTGGACTCAAACTAGCTTCTCTGTTTCCTGCTGCGTGACCTCGAGCTCTGATCCTCCTCTCTGATCCAGATCTATGAAGTATCATTACCAATGACCACTGAAGAAGCTGCCTGTGGTGGGTCCTGGTGCACAGCATGAATTCTGAACATGGGGACTGGGATTCTTGAGGTTCCCTGCACAGCTGGACTGTGGGAGCCCTTCCTGACCTCCTCCCTAGAGTGAGCGTTCCTAAGAAGACGTCATCCACGGCAGGGACGTCTTCTCGCCAGCCCGCTATGCCTGTCATTCACGTATTTTTCCAAACTCAGGAAATGCGCAGAAAGTGCTGTTTCGAGCCAAAAGCTGGGCCACATCTGCTGCATCTTCCATCTCGGGCCCAGTGACCCTGATATGGAAGCAGTACACCCTGGGGGCCAAGCTCGGAGGCCTGAGTCATCTCAGGGATGCTATTTCTGGGCAGACCAAGTCTCTGGGAGCCCAGGTTACTCCGGGACAGCCTCAGGCTGGAATCTGCCATTCTCCTCTGTAAAGCTAAAGGTCCTTGCCTGTCTCACTCCAAACAGAAGCTTTGGGTGGAGTCTGGCTGCCTCCAGATCCTGACTCCATTGCCTTCTTATTCCACGACAGGACACCTGCCTTCACACACTCTGCTCCCTCTGCCAGGAACGCCCTTTCCCTTGGTGTGGATATGCAGCTTCTTGTCCTTCAGACCTGATCAGATCCCTTCCAGAGGCCCCCTCTGCCCACTCTGAAACTGCAGCCCTACTCCATCCCCCTCCCCTTCTCGTTTTCCCTACGGTTTCCTCACTACCGGACATCATAGCCCACACTGACTTGCTTGTATATGTGTGCTTGTGTGTGCGTTATACATGGACATATGTGTGTGGGTGCATACCCAGGTGTGTTCATAAGGAGACCAGAGGTCAGTGTCAGGTGTCTTCTCCTGTCATTTTCCACTTTACATTTTTTTGTTGTTTTGGGTATTTGTTTTGTGTGTGTATGTGTTTGTTTTGTTTTGTTTTTTGTTTTGTTTTGTTTTTTGTTGTTTTTCTTTTTTTTTGAGACAGGGTTTCTCTGTAGCTTTAGAGTCTGTCTTGAAACTAGCCCTTGTTGATCAGGCTGGCCTCGAACTCACTGAGATCCGCCTGTCTCTGCTTCCCAAGTGCTGGGATAAAGGCGTATGCCACCACCACCTGGCTCTCTCCCCCTTACTTTTTGAGACAGTACCTTTCACTGAACCTGGATCTCGCAGTCCAGCTCTACTGTGGGCTCTGGAGTCAGTCTGTCTCTGCTCCCCTCCCCAGTGCTGCATGTCCAGCATTTATTTGGGTTTTCATTTGAACTCAGGTCCTCACGTTTGTGCCAGCAAACTCTTCACCCATGAGCCATTTGCTCATCCCTAGAGACTGCTCAGATCATTGTAGTCAGCAGAGCAGCCCCTGGTACAGCCGTGGCCAGCAGGAGTGAACAGGGTGTCTTCTGCATGAATGAATGGCTGGATGACTGACACCTGGGTCTAGGCACCCATTCCTTGTGGTTATTTTTCTAAAGAATAAGAGTAGAGGGAAGGGGACAGGAACAGAAGGTGCCTGGCAGTTAGGCACTATGGCTTGAATAAGGGTCTCCCAAAAGTTGTGTGATAAGTTTGGTCCTCGGGGCAGCATTACTGGAAAGAGATGGAGCCTCGTGGGAGGCCCCCAGAGGTGCATCCTGGAAAGGGATCAGAGGATTACAGGCCTCTTCCCTTTGCCCTTTTTTTCTTCCTGACTATGATGTGACCACGAGAGCAGTTGTGACCTGCCACACACTTTCCTTGTGTTGTCCATGGCCCCACACATTAGGGTTCTCACCAAGGATTTCGCTGAGGCCTCGAACAAGTCGATGGTTTTGTTGAGCCTGGGGGTATCTATCTACCTGTCAAATATGGAAGAAGGCAGAGGGCATCAGAAGGTGCCTGCCCTGCCTCTGTCTTATTCAGTGATCTTAGCCAAGTAGTTTCATGCTTCTTAGCCTCGGTTCAACATCTACAAATGGAAGAATCACAGAACTCCCACCCCACTGGGCACCTAGAGGGCCTCCCAGAGTTTCAAAGACACAGCAGGAGGGAAAACCAAGGGGCAGGAGCCGGGATGATGGGCATGTCATAACGCCCTGTCCAGAGTTCAGGGCAACTTTTCAGAAGCCACCCAAAGCCCTCCCTGGCCACAGAACTTCTCTCCTCGAATCTCTGCCCGACATAGGACCCCTCTCGTCAATCTCTGCAGGAGTTCCAAAGGAGGAGGGGGACAGGAAGGCTCAGGGTCCCCTTCCACCTCGCTAGTTACCCAAGGAAGTGGCCAGGACTGGACGCAGCAGGAGGAAAAGGGTGTGGCTACACACCTCACTCCAAGCCTCAGGAAAAGGGCTCCCTGGAGTCACAGCGTAGGAGAGAAACTCCAAGGATAGAACTGACCTCCAATCCAGCCAGAGCTTGACCAAACACTGTGGAATTAATTCACAAACTCTTCTTTGATGGATTCACAACACTTAGCAAAAGTGGTTAATCAATGATAAATAGACGAACACATCAATGAAGCCATGAATCTGAATTACTAAAGGAAAAGTTTCCCATGGGCTGGGTAAATCCCCAGGGCCCAAACTAGAGTGGAGGCCATGTCAACGCCTAGGAACAAGGGTCTGAGTTGATCACAATATCGAGGACACTGAAGAACTGATTTCTCTGAACCTGAAAGAGATTCCCATCTGCCCTGAGGTGGCAGGCTCAGTGCCTAGAACAGTGCCTCCAGCACACAACCCTGGTGGTGCACGAATGCTCACCATCCAGCCCTCAGCCCCAAGAGACCACCCCGCCGGAGCTTTGCCCCCAACCACCACACGCCTCACCGGTTTTGTTTTTTTTTAAATAATTTGTGGGTTGTTTTTAATTGTTGAGGCAGTAATACTTGGTTCATGAAACTGCAATATACAGAGAGGTGAAATAAATAGCTTATATATATAATATATATAATATAGCTGGTTTTAAAATATTCCCTTATCATTGGTGTACTAGGTCACGTGAGTCACGGAAGGTCCATAGCAGCATCCTCCAGAACTGCGGGCAAGGCAGGCCACCATGATTGGACGAGGCGTCTGTCGTCGGAAGGTCGAGGCGCGGAGAATTCTCAGGGGCGCCTTCCCTGCGCGGTGTCGCGGGACAGCTTGCAGTGGACAATAAATAAACGACTGCAAACCAGAGAGCGATTCTTGTTGGAGTCTAGGGCTGGGGGAGGGTCAGGGAGGGGGGCTGAGGTGAGAGGGGGGGCACTACGTTTCTTTTTCTTTCTTTTGTTTTTTTTTTCCTTTCTGCTTTTTTTTTTTTTATTTTTCTTTCAGAACCTTTGGGGAAAAGGACTTTGGTTTCTCGCTGCGTCAGTTTTCTCATTCGAGTCCTCCTCTGGGGATGAGTTTTGAGTTGTCACGCCCTAGAGAGAGGCAAGCACCTGTGGGTTGACAGCAGTCCCCTTTCGTGAGTCCTTTGTCATGGGGTTCAGGTCAATGGTAGAATCCTATCGCCCCGGCCCCCCCAAGACTTTAGGTTCAGTTTTTGTCTTCTTTTAAACACAATGTACAAAAATAGAAATTCTTCCTTATTTTTCGTGTAAAAATATTCCTCTGATGTAGTTCTCTAGGGATGAGTGTGGCCGGACCTAGCCGGGGTGAGTAGGGCGGATCCGCCGGGAACGCTTGGTGACGGTGGTGTACTTGAAGGGCTTCTGCAGTTCGGCCTGCCCCTTGGGGTAACGCTTCATGAAGTGCACATCCTGCTGGTTCTCCCGGGTCTTGGGACCCTTGCGAGGCCTCCCCTTCTTGGTGAAGCCCACGTACCAGCCTGTGTACTTGGCTGACATCAGGGCCGTGTAGTTGTTTTCCAGAACCTTCTCAATGAACACACATTCCTTGCTAGTACCATCAGGCTGCAGGAGAGAGAGAGAAGGAGCGTCAAAGAAAGGAGAGTCAAGGATCCTGGTAAGTGCGCTACAGTAGACATTACACACAGTCACAGGGATGACAGTGAGTACCGGGGCCCACTGCACCTCGATCCCTCCATGGGGATCTAAAGATGGGCTTCGCTCAGCCCCCAGGCTCACAGCACCAGCAAGTGTAGCCTCAAGAGAAGCGGCTGAACACAGGCGTGAGCACACACGCCTTGTGAACATGGTAGGTGATCAGATACCAAGAAGGCCTCTGCTTAAAACTAGGCTTCACAAGCATTCTAGGGATGGGCCTAGGAGAAGATTGGGGAGCCAGACTAAAGCCCAGCAGGAAGCCTTTGCCTGGAGGAGAAAACAAAGGGGAAAAGAAAGTGGAGGCAGTGGGGGTGCAGTGTCTTTAATTCCGGCACTTGGGAGGTAGAGGCAGGAGGATCTCTATGAGTTCGAGGCCAGCCTGGTCTACAGAGTGAGTTCCAGGACAGCCAGGACTGTTTCACAGAGACTGTCTTGAAAAAAAAAAGCAAACAAACAAAAAGAAGAAGAAAAGAAAAGGAAGGAGGGAGGGGGGAAGAGAGATAGAAAAAAAGGAAGAAAGGAAGGAAGAGAGACAGACAGACAGACAGACAGAAAGTTAGTTAGTTAGTTGAGGGCAAGAAGTTCTAGGCCCGGCCTAGGGATGGGGCAAGGGTTGGGACAGCGCAGCACAAAGGGCCTCATCTCCACATCCTTATATGCAAATGTACTTTGTTACAGGGCCCTCACATCTTCCTAAGTCTTCCATCCTTCCCACTGTCTTGCAGAAACCCACACCTCAGATACGTAGGCTCCATATCATCCCTACTTGAGCAACAGACCTAGACTAACCAAATAAATCGTAGCCCCTTGCTGACACGTGACCCTGCCCCACCAATCAGAGTACTGTGTGGGTTCAACCGCCAAGCCCCCCCCCCAAAAAAAGATGGGTTTAAACTTGAGGTATTTGTAAGGCTGAAATGAGGGCAGCCATTTTACCAACATAAAACGGAAATCCTGCTGGGCAGCGATGCCAGCCCCGAGGAAGCAAGGTCAAGCAGGAGAATGAAGAAACCACAGAGCCCTGGTCACTACATTCGGGCTCTGGACCCAGCTGCTTCTGCAGGTCACATTACCTCACTAGCATGTGGGCCAACAATGTCTCATTTCCTTTAACTCAGCTGATGTTTTTTTAGCCTATCATTTGTAGGAGAAATGGGTCCTGGCAGATCTGCACCAAATCTGACGCTGAGTCGGGCGGCCGGTCAACTCTTCCGCGACACAGTTCAACACAAACTACACTCGATGTGGGATGCGGTGCACTTTACTACTTGGTATGAAGCAAGCTAGAAACCATCCAAAAATAAGACGTAGCATGGCCAAACTCCACAGGCTGCGTGAGGGGGCTCTGGGATCTCTAAGTCTGGAGAGACTAGATACGCCGGGGCAAAGAGCGCTGACTTAGGAGCCAAAAGCCAAATGAACCCTAGCACATCCGGTGACCTCAGGGTGGCCAAGTCCTTCCTCCAAACCTCAGATCCCTCAACAGACAAAAGAGTACAATGACATTCTGGGAGGAAGGACACGTGTAAATGAGTCTGACACACAAAGGGGCTCTCCAGGTTGTTCCTGAAGGGCAGGTGGCTCTGCTGGGATCGCTTGGAACAAAAGACCTTGCGGGGGCCCGTCTGGAGCAGCCGCTGCTCGATGGGAGAGAGTGGGAAACGCAAACTTGGACGGGCTAACTTAGTAGCACAAGTTTCCAGCTAACATCTCCAAATTTAGGCCGGGCCCACTCCTCGTTCCGGACGGCTGCTCCGCCAAGTTGGAAGCCCAGCGGTCTGGCTGTGTGTGGAGACTGAGGTGCGGGTTCCAGCCTTTTGTTTGAAGTGGAAAACTGGCCGGAGCTTCCAGGGACATTCACCTTTGAGAGGAGGGCAAGCCTAGTCCCTGTAGACAGAGTGCTGAACTCTGCAGAAACGCTGGGTAGGGAAACTCTGGGAAATGCTGTTTCCAAGCCGGCTTCAGAACAGACAGTGGGGAGGCTCAAGACACACGTGATACCCAGGACAGCCTGGGTAAGATAGTAAGACAGTAAGTAAAGGAGGGCAGAAAAACCCGTATAAGGCAGGTTGAGGCCAGTGATCTCTTGGCTCTCAGTCTCTCATGGAAAGGTCTAGAAGCTCCTCATCCAGCTCTTTACATGACCTTCACCAAAGTTACAGCAACCAGAACAACACCTAGGCAACACCATCCTATTTCTGTACTTTAATGCCCGGCTCTAATTGCCACCTATGGAGCATTCCTTGATTGCAGCTTCACTCTCCAGGCATTGCCTCCCCTTCCCCCAAGAGGCAATGGTCAAACTCAGGTGCAACCTACTGTTAGCCTCTTAGCCTTTCTTGCAAGTCCACAGTGGAGAATCTGCTCATTGTTGGTTCCACCACCAGTTCCAAGAGCCACTCTGTGCCCTGTGGTGTTGGAACCAGCCCAGAGCCCAGCCCCTCCAGTCCTTTGAAGTAAATTAAGACATGTACTAAGCATCTGCACTTAGAATCCTACCAGTTCACATGCTCCATCTTTGGAAGTTCCTGGGTACCCACCAATGGAGTACTGCATCCACCTGCCTCCTCCTTAGTCCAAGAGCTCCCTGAGACCAGGGATTGCTTCTGACTGACTCTAGGAGCTGAGCACAGGCCTTAGGCCAAGATGGGGTTTATAGTCAAACAAAGGAGAGCCTTACCAAGATGGATTGTGGTGAGTGAATATCACATGAAAGAGCCTGAAAGAGAATCTACTTTCGAATCCCTTGTAGTGTCTCTCAGACATCCTTCCAGAAGGACTCTCAAGGAGAGTCAAGGAGACAGAGCGAGCTGAGGGTTTGAGAGCCCTCCTGGCTCACTTGCTCTCCCTACTCATTCATTCAGCACGTATTGATCGCTGACCACAGGCCAGACATTCCCACATCCATTATGTCATCTCACCCTCTTAAGTCATTGAGACTGGCTCTGCCTAGAGAAAGGAAACAGCTCCAAGAGGCAAAGGGGCTTGCCCAAGGTCATGGCGCTGGAAAAATGGCCCCTGGCGTACTTGTCTCACGTCTAGTCCTGGAGAAGTCCCTGGGGGAGGAGAGAAGAGGCAGAGCCGGTGATGGCCACCAACACTCCTCACCTCCCATGGAGCCACATGGGGCACACAGTAAAACATGGGCACAAAGTAAAATGTTGGGGTGCAATAGTCTAGCACAGAGCAGGCATGTATGCTCAGTACATGTCTATGTTCACTGTGTTCAGAGGGCTGAGAAGCTGGGTTCTGGACTGGTCCTACCACCACAGGCACAGAGGGGCTCTTGGGAACGAGTAGGAACCAATGAGAGGCACAGGTTCTCCACCATGGGCTCAGCCAGAAGGGCCCAGAGGCTGACAGCAGGCTGCACCTGAGTTTGACCATTGCCTCTGTTTCTGACCCCTTCTGTGACCATAAGTCACTTATACTGACATGATAGATAGATAGATAGATAGATAGATAGATAGATAGATAGATAGATAGACAGACAGACAGATAGATAATAATCAAAGCTTGGGCAGAACCTCAGAACTTCGGACTCTGCTGGCTAAGGCAAGCAGGGGCACTAGCTTTTAGAGTAACCTTAGCACCTGGGAGTCTTGGGAGGTTAGTGCAGACCAGCCCTCCCCCTTCTCCTCCAGCCCCACTTCCCATCCCCTGACTTCACTGATGCTCACAGTCCTTCTATGTGACCTGAATCCTGATGACATCACGCAATCACACCTCACCTAACGCTACAGATTTTAGATCTACTGGGGCGGGGGGGGGGGGCAGGGAATCCCCTTCTGTTGAAAACAGTGTTTCAGTGACTTAGAACCAAAGTGGCCTTAATCCCCTGCCCTGAAAGACTCTGAGGTCTTACTCCCAAAAGGACAAGCAGGGATGAGGGGCAGATGAAGGAGTGCTGATTAGCCATGATAGGAGATGCTGGGTAGGCTCAGAGAGGTGGCCAGGAGCAGGCTACCAGAGCATGCAGGCTCCGAGACAAATATAGGGAATGACCACAGTCAACGGCTAGTGCATCTAAAACAGCTGTTTTCAGGGCTCAGTGCATGACCCCTGCCCTGGCCAGATGTGCAAGGCTGGTACCTATAAGCCACAGGAAGGAGGAAAGCACACTGCTAAGGCACTCCAAGGCAGCAGAGGCCAGAGGTCCCATGGGTGCCAAAATGATGCCAAGGCCTGGCTTCGGGCTGGGGGCGTAGTTCTGTCCACACAGTACCTGCCTGGCACACACAGAACCCGGGGTGCATTCTCAGCTCCCCATGAATCAGGGGTCGTTATGCATGCTTCCAATGTCTGCACTCAGGAGGTAGAGGCAGGAGGACCAAAAGTCCATGGCCAGCCTTAGTCACACAGGGAATTCCAGAGTTCCAGAACAGCCCACGAGGGAGGAGACCATGTCTCAAATAAATAAATAAATAATTAAACTAAAATAAAATAAACCTGTCTTTGAAAGGGGAAGGAGGAAGAGACTAACACTCGGGCACTGCCTGCTTAAATGACTGCATGAGTCCCCCTTACAGGAAAGGATCCAAGGATCAGTGGGCCAGAACATAGTGGGTCAGGGCACCAGGCTCCCTGACCTGGTGGGCACCATTCTTGCAGGTGGCTGAGTCATCTCAGAAAGCGAGAGGCAAATTCCCGCTTCTGTGTTGTGTCTGTGCCCCTCAGGCACTGCATGGGCTCCAGCCCTGGAGGAGAACACAGACCCGAGGACAAGGAGTGACCTCCAGGTGAACGAGTGGAGGCACGGACAGCTGAGCGAGGGGGGCGGGGAAGAATAGAGACCCTAGAAGGTGAGTCAGGAAGAAGAGCCAGGTCCGTGAAGCAAGGATAGCGCTGGGAAGGCTCACGTATGGAGCCCTAAATCCGCGTCCAGGAATGGGTGTGAACAGTTCAGAGAGCCTGGGGCATAGGTTTCCAGGAATATGGAGAAGCTCAGCGGAGCCCTAAGCTGGTCTAGCGGAGGAGGGGAAGTTCGGCTGGGGCCTGAAGTTTCCCAAGCAAGGCAATAAAGGTTGGGGCAGCAATATCTGGAGAGCACAGAGACTGTGAGGAGGAGGGAGACACACCCAGTCATTAAAGAGGGGACTCTCCCCTCCAGGACCCGGTCTGAGTGAGCAGGGAGGATGCCACAGACAGCCTTCCAAAAGCGTGATTCCCACCCCACCCAGCACAGGTGGGAGGGGGGCACCAAACCCCTGGGCCCAGAAGGGTGGTGGACGCAGTTTGGCCAGCAGGGTGCAGAGGTGGAGACAGGGAGACCCAGCCTGCTTCGCTGTTGTGCATTGAGCCAGCTGAACCCTCACCAATATTAATGACGGGAGTGAGGGCAAGGGGGCAGGAAATCGGAACCGGCTCCTGTGGAAGCGGTGACTCAGCGGCCAGCCGGCAGGAGGCAGACGGCAGGGCTGCAGCCCGAGGGGGCCTGTCATTCTCCTTGACCCCATGATGGCACTCCTGGGGGTCAGGATGCCGGGAAGACCGAAGGCAGGAGGGGAGGCAGCACTGGGCTGTGCAGGCACTGGGCACAGAGAGAGCAGAGCGAAGGGGAAAACCAACCGAGGTTCAAACCCAAAGCAGGTTGGTCTGGGAGGAGGCCCAGGCGGGCAGCAGAACAAAGCGCCTGACGCCCGGCTGGGCCGCCGCCGCCGCAGGAAACTGCCGGCCAAGACGCGACAGGCTGGGCCAGGGGACCCGGCACCCGCCCCTGCCTGACGCCCCAGCCGCTGAGGGACCCCCTCGCCGGCCGGCCTGCGACGGCGGAAACTGAATCACTAATTGAAACCACTCCTCGGCATCCCAACGCTCTTCGGATTACTATTATTTTGCAGTTTGGGTTGGTATGGGTGTGTGGCTGGAATCTTTCCCTTTCCAACCCAGCTTTGAATCCCGCCTAGGGCTAGTGTGGGACTTGGCACAAGCGCCCAGGGATGTAGACAGCCCTCAGCTTTCCCATCTGTGAAATGGGAATGATAGTGGTGCCAAACTACCAAAATTATCTGCAAGTATTTTTTTGCCCAATGCCTGGGAGACAGCAGGTGTTCAATCTAAAAGAAGCTGTCATTATCCCTGTGTCAACCTTGGTCCTTGACCCAGGGAAAAGGGGACAGGGGGAAGAACTAAAGGCTCAAGAAATCAAATATTACTTCAACAAGACTGATCATTCTCCCCTTATGCTGACAAGGTATAATGGAACTAATTTCCCCCAGGACCTTGTTCCTAAGCAGAAGCCCACCTTCCATGACACCAGTCCAGACAGCTTAGAAGCAGGGAAAGTCCCCGAAGAGAGCAGAGAAGAGACAGGTGACTTCACTAAAGAGCTACCGTGGGTGCCATCTTCCTCTTGAGCCTCTGGAAGAAACAAGCCCAGGACCCTCGCAAAGAAGCGCGTGAATGTAAAGCGGAGAGATGAAGGGTAGTCTTCCAGGAGCATCCAAGTCCAGCAAGTGGGTGCACACGTCCCACATACATGTGCGCTAATTCAACACTTGCGGTTCTCTGGCCTGTTCCAAAGTAATAAAATCTTCCTAAACTGAAAGAACAGCTCTGAGCAGTGACTGCTTCCGGAGACTTCTGCTGCTGCCAACCCCTGAGGATTGTTGAGATGATCCCTGCAGGCCCAGCCCATGGGCTGCAGGTTCCCCGTTCCCAGACACCAGGAGCAAAAGAGCTGGCTGCCCCCAAGGGTTCCTCCCTATAGAACAAACCAGAACTCCACATCCTTTTCCAGCAGAGTCTAGGGCTTCGTGGCACCAAGAGGCAGCCATAAATATCCCAACCTGGCTGCTGCAGACACCAAAACAAAAACCATGGCCACAGGAAGAGATGCCAACAGGTGCTGATCTCTCTCGTCCAGACCTGCACTCCAGGTAAGGCTAACAGGACCACGGCTATGCTTTGCCCCGTCTCCAGAGCTGGCTGAACAGAGCCCCAAGTACCCAGGGTCGCATCACTTACCTTCCCCACGAGCTTGCCTTTTCGGTTCATGCACAGGTAGAACTCAGTCTCCTTGCCCTTGATCCGGACTTGACTCCCGAAGGTATCTGTCTCCACTAGGAGCTGGGCTTCGAAAGGCAGAAGAAGAATAAGACAAACTTTTGAACCAGAGGCAATGGTATAATCTAAAGACCCAGCAACATGCTCCTTGACCTTCCCCCCCTGGTCCCTCACTTTCCCAAAGTCAAACATAAGAGGATTCTGGTTGGTTCCATGAGCACACCCTGACTCTGGGACCGGGGGACGGGGACGGGGCAGGGAGGGGGGATCTGCTGCCACGTCCCCTACGATCTAGTCTGAAAGGACTTTGTCTGTGGCCCCTCCCCACCCCACCCCCGTACACCTACGAGCCCGTCAATTCCACTCTCCAAAGTGGGACCAACAGTCACAAAGAATACCCAAAATAACCAAGAGAATATACACAAATACACACACATACACACACACACACACACAGAGAGAGAGAGAGAGAGAGAGAGAGAGAGAGAGAGAGAGAAAAAGAGAAAGAGACAGAGAGACAGAGAGAGAGAGAAAGAGAGAGAGAGCTCGTGCACGCCAAGCCAGCCTTTGGGACCTCATGCTGTTTCCGTCAAAAGTTAGGTCAGATGTCCTTTCCCCCAAGGGCAAACATCTGGCTCCCTACTAATGCAGTCTAATGCAGTTTTGGCACCTTTGACCTGGCCACTTGACACAGGAAGACACGGAGGTGAAGGTGCCACACCCCTGGGAAAGAGTCTATGTTCAGAATCTCCCTTCCGCTGACTGAGGTCATCAAAACTGCTGGGTAACTACTTTCAAGAACACAGAGGTCTGGTCAGGACCCAATTATCCCACCCCCAGGACCAGAGCCCACCCATGCCTCAGCATCAGGATGGAGGGGTCCACACTGCTCCCCTAAACCCCTGGCAGACAAAGGCACCAGTGATGTTCTTTTTAGTCAGTCCACATTTCCCCCTGTAGGATCCAGTGTGACTTGGGGTGAGCTCTCACCTGTCCCTCGTCTTGAACCCCCATGACCTAGTCTCCTTCACCACTCCCCTCCCCCACAGCTGTTTTCTTTGGCTGTAACCCTTCCCTTCCAGCACCTGCCCCTCCCTCAGCTACGAAAGTTTCATTTCAGTGACAAGGGACTGCTTCTCCATAACCGTAGCCCCAAATTCCTGAGTACGGTATCTATGGAGTCACAAGGAGTGTACCTCGGTGCCCCTAAAATACACTAGGTATGATTTTAATAAAAAACATTTACAAATATAGGCCCTAGTGCCCTGCTGTGAAAATTGAAACCACCTGGAACTTAGGGTTTCTATAATTAATCTAGCCCTCCTTTGACACCACTTCTAATTAAAATATGATTCCCACCTTAAAAAAAGAATTTACATAAAATTTAAAGACCTAACAAGAATTTTGTAATTCTGGGAGCAAGGTGGGGCACATTCTTCTTTCCGCCTTCCCCCACCCCCAGTAAACATTGAGTTAGGAATATGAACAAGGCCTTGATGTACCCTGCTTGCCCTCATTCAAACCCCTTGCCCTCTTCTCCTCTTACTGGGGTCCCAGAGGGAAAGTCACAGTAGCTCCCCAGCCTTCTCCTGTCTCCCGGCAAATCTCAGTCCTCCCAAAGTGAGAAAGTTCTAGAAGCTTCGATGGGGCCTGCATGTATATGGAGAAGGCAAGGGTCTGGTATGCCTAAATATGGACTTGACACCCCCCCACTTGACTTCTGTGTGGCCCTGGGCCACAGGGTCTTTGCCAGTGAACTGGGGAGAATTGTTCTGACCCCTCAACAGGGCCCAGGAGGCCTGTAGTGTGTAGCCCTGTTCTAGAGGTCCAGAGGGGAAGCTCACTAACCTAAAAGCTGCAAAGCTGAACTTTTCCTGGAAGAAAAGGGTGCCCAGAGGCCAAGCCCGCGCTTCCTGAAAGTGGAAGGGAGCCTGCTTCCCGAGGCCCTGTCCCCGCTCTGAACCTGCTCAGTCTTCCCCAGGCACAGGCAGCCCACACCAGACAGGGCATCCAAAAACACCCGCAGGTCTGTTGCCATCCCGCACTGAATCCTAAGCAGATAGATCACCACACCCCTGTCTGAGCCTCAGTTTCCTCCCTGGTGCAAGGCGGTGTGCAGTTCAGCCCCATTCTAGTTCTTTCTGGAACCCTGGCGTCAAACCTAGAAGAAGAGCAGACTCTACTGGGAGTAGGGAGATTGTCATTAATGGAAGAATGGGGACAGGGCCCAGGACACCGTTCTCACCCCCCCCCCAAATATGTCCTCTATGGACAAGATCTGCTTCCGTGGGATACAATTAAAGCTCCCCCACATCCACATGAAGTAAGCCATCCTGGTCCTCATTGCTCAGGGTAAGTGAGGTGTCCAGCGACAGCCAGGCAGGAGGACTAACTGCAGGGTTGGCTGGCTCTGAAAGCCACTCCTAACATCGCCCCACCTCTCAGCAACAAGGACCCTGGCCATCCCCCACCCTATCCCACCGCATCCTGGGGGTGGGTACAGACATCCAAAGGGTCTGGGGGCAGAGAGGTTAGGGCTGCAGTTCAACTCCGCCCTCCACAGGCCAGACCACCCCCATTCAGCCGGGGCAGGGTCTGAGCGAGCCGCTCGCAGTCTGTTCTTTCTACCCACCCTGACCACAGCACGCAGGAGAGTGACCTAGACTCCACTCAGAGAATGACATAATGAGGCGGGAGTCAGGCCAGAATTATGTAAAGTCTTTGGGGAGTAATAGACCAGCAGCAGCAGCGGCGGCGGCGGCAGCAGCGGCAGCGGCAGGAGAGAAAGAGGAACAGACACTCCACCCAAGCTAGGTCTGCTCCAGAGCCTCCCTGGTCCTCCTCTCCTCATCCTCCACCCGCTTCTGAGAGCCAAGCTCCAAAGATGCAGCTCTTATGAGCAGGCCCCTCACCCTGGCTCAGTTCCATGGACAGGGCCTGCAGCTGGCCTGGGGGAATGACACTGTCTTGCCACCCCTCCCCCACCATCCCACACAGCTCAACAGCCACCTTCCTCTGCCACTCTGGCCCTCACTGGTCTTCCCTCCACACGTCAGCTGAAAATGTTCTTCAAAAAGACCGATGAGGCTGAGAAGGTGCCCCTGTCGGTAAAGAACCTGCCACGTAGCGTGAGGACCTGAATTTGGATCCCTGGCAACCCACGTAAAAGCCAGGCATGGCGGTGAACATCTACAAACCCTACTGTTGGGGAAGCAGAGATGGGGAGACTCACAGAGCTCACAGGTCAGACAGTCCAGCCAACCAGTGACCTCCAGGCTCAGTAAAAAACTGCTTCTCAAAGTTAAAGATAGAGAGGGATTGAAAGGAGACATGAAGCTGATCCCTATCTACACACACACACACTCACAACAATTATATCTCTTCCCTGTTGAAAAACCTCCCAGGATCCTCAAACAACTTAGGGAAAACCCAAGCTCGCCAGTAGGACCCACATCATCTGGTCCCTGCTGTCCCTCCTTCCAGCCCTCCCAAGCGCACTGGCTCCCTTGCTCTCTCTCCAGCACACCTGGCTCCTGCTGCAGGCCCTTTGTTCTTGCCACCCTTCTACCTAGAGGCTGCTTTGCCCAAGCTTTCCCATGGTTGAGCCTTATCCCTCCCCCCAGATGGCCAACAGTCATCTCCTTAGAGATGCTATGGTTTGACCAAGAATGATCCCCACATTTGAATGATCAGTCTCTAGGGAGTGGCGCTATCTGAAAGGATTAGAAGGACTGAGAGATGCGACCTTGTGAGAATACTGTGGCCTTGTTGGAGGAAGTGTGTCACTGTGAGTGGGCTTTGAGGTTGCAGAAGTCCATGCCAGGCCCAGTCTCTCAGAGACTCTCTCTCCCTCTCTCCCTCCTTCCCTCCCATCCTTCAGTCAGATCAGGATGTATCTCTCAACTTCTCCAGCACCATACCTGCCCTGCCTGCTGCCATGCTGACCACGAACTAAACCTCTGAAACTGCAAGCAAGCCCCCAGTCAAATGTTTTATTTATAAGAGCTGCCATGGCCATGGTGTCTCTTCACCAAGGAGAACAGTTACTAAGCTGCCTTCCCTGACTGTACTGTTTGATGCTGGCACCACCCTCCCCAGCCCAGCACGTGCCAGTTCCCATGCCACACTTCAGCACTCTACTTATTTCTTCTGTGCATTATTATTCTGTCTATGTGAAGGTGTTGGAAACCCTGGAACAGGAGGAACAGACAGTTGTGAGCAACCTTTATGAGTGCTGGGGACTGAACTCGGGTCCTCTGGAAGAGCAGCCATGCCTTTAACAGTTGAGCCATCTCTGCAGTCCACTCTTCCAGCACGTTAAAACTGCCTATTGATATTGTTTCAGTCTTAAATGTGGGGAAGGTTTAGTTGTCTGCTTCCAGCATTACTAGGCCCTTTCAGATGTGAGATCCATAGAGGGCGTTAGGTAACATGCCCCTTCTTGCCTCTCTTGCTGCTGTCTCTCTTTCTACTTCCCAGTCATCCGGAGACAAGCTTCCTCTCCTGCACAAGCCACAACATTCTGACTTACCACAGGCCCAGAAACAAGGGGCTAACGAATCATGGACTGAGCCTCCAAAACCGAGTCAAAATAAACCTTACTTTTTCTTAACTTGACCACCGCAGATATTTTGTTACAATGAAAGCAAACTGCCAGGCCTTGGTGGTGCACACCTTTAAACCCAGCACCAGGGAGGCAGGAGCAGGTGGATCTCTGTGAGTTCAAGGCCAACCAGGTCTACAGAGTGAGTTCTAGGACAGCCAAGGCTACACAGAGAAACCCTGTCTCAAAACAAAAATAAAAACAAATAACAATAATAGTAAGTTAACACAATTTGCCACCATTTCCGCTGCGTGTCCTTCCTCACCAGCAGGTAAGCCCCACACAGACAGGACAGCTGCCCTTACTCCCAAGGCTTTTTTGGAGCACCCCAGCCCACGCCTGACTCCTAGTAAGCGGCCACTAATTAAATGACAGTAAGTGCATGGATACCCTTGTGATGTCAGCAGCGACTAACATGATTCGAGAGCTAAGGGAAGACGCAGGGCGGTGAGGCGACAGGTTACA